CCCCCCACCCCACTTCGTAACTCTTCAGGACACTGTAGATTGAAGTTGAGACAGGGTTAGTTGATTTGTGTATCACATTTAATGTGTTGGTGGAGTTTACAGGCACACAGCAGGACAGGAGAAGAGGAAAGACTGACCAAAAATGCTAGAGGGAAATAAAATAAAATACAAGGGGAGATCCAGTGGGACACTGGGAGGTGATGTGAGTGAAAGGGAAATCCTAATGACAGAGTGGATTAAAATCCACCCTGTCCCTTAGAAACGATGCTCATATACAACTCGCTGTCATCCAGTATGTCTGTGAGGAAACACCACTGTGACCAGATCATGTTTTCTATTAACAGACTGAGGAAATCTTGGTAATTGACATATCTGGCAAGTCACAATTATGTTGCTAGCGAACATATCAGTGAAAACATTTGTCTTCAGCAGTATTTTCAAAACAGACTTGAGCACACATCAGGGACGAACCGCCAGGCTCAGACTGATGTTCTGCTCGGCCTGGAACATGGGGCACAGCATACAATGGACATGACATCACCACTTCCTTCCACTATGCAAACTGAAGCCAAACCATCATGAATCCAGCAGCTGCAATTGAGCTTTTTTGCAACCAGATTGTGCTTAGTAGCAACCAGAAGTGGAGTGACAGCATCAGGCCACCAATCAAAGCTGTCAAACCAACTGAAACACACCTCTGTTTACATCAGCCTGATAATAACATGGAGGAGACGGGGTTTATGACCTGTACTGCATCCAGCCACCTGGGGGTGATTGGGTCTGGGAGCTGTCAGCCTTTCCATTGTTTTTACAGTCAGTGGTATAACCAGAGCTGCTGCTGTCCTGGGGTGTAGTACTGCATGTGGGGTCCTCCCAACTGTCTAACATACTTGTAGGTACCGTCAGGTTGTCTCTCCAGGGATGGCATATCCAGTGACACAGGGCGGCTGTGACTCAGGAGGTAGAGCAGGTTGTTTTCCAACTGGAAGGTTGGTGGTTTGACTCCCAGCTTCTCCAGTTCATATGTTGAGGTGTCCTGGAGCAAGACACTGACGCCCCCAGTTGCTCCTGGTGATGTGACTGGTGTGTGTGCTTGGGAGTGTGAATGGGCAAATATTGCAGCAATGCAGAGAACAGCGCTATACAAGGCAATCTCCCACTCATACACCGTTCACAATATGAGTAAAGATGTTCTTTACTCATATTGTAAAACAAGAAATAAAAACACCTGTAGACTGTACCGTTGAAGGAAACTGGTGAAAACGATTTTCTTCTGAACACCAAGTAAAACAAGAACACTGGCTTATATATTCTTAGAAGGACCTCTGGAGTATATTCCAGCCTCTGTACAATATTCCCTAAGTTTATATTGTTTGATAACTGCTCTGTCATGAATACCAGTTTTTACAGCTAGATCACAACATGTTCAGACACTTAAACTCATGTTTGTACTTAAATAAATGTACTTTGTCCAAATAAATGATAAATGTAAGACCCAATACATTTCTTAGCTCCTGACTCTAACGTTAATGTGGATTTGATGGTTACCCTGACCTTCACCTAAACCGAGTTTGTCCTCAACAGCCATTTGAAGAAGTGAGGTTGGGCCACAGTGTTCTCACTTTCCAAAAATGTCCACTTTAATCTAAATGAGTGCTCACACAGATAGATGTTGTACACGCACAGCTCTTTAATAATGCACTACTGCCCCCAAGTGCTCCACAGTCAACACATACAATATTTCTGAGTATGTCCCAGTCTGGTACGGGACAGTTTGATGTGCATTTAGTGAACAGAACCAGTTAAAACCTGCTCCAGCTTGTCCTGCTGGACCTCTGCACAAGTCAGCCGGCTCCAGGGAGAAGGTGTCCAGTGGTATCAGTAGGTTATAGCAAAATACTGATACTAGCCAATAATACTGTTACAGTATCACAGTACCACACATTATCCAGGATTTGAGCTTTTAGCTCAATAAATACAGCAGCTTGGGTAGTTACAAGTGCAGTTCACACTGAACATTCAGTGACAAACGTATTACACAGACCACACACCCTAGTACAGGCTTATGTCCATGGCACAATAAATTAAATTATGGTTAACTATGATTCTCTCATTAGCCAGTGTTAAAGTAAAAAGGAAAGCAGCATTGCACATTGTGATGTGCACTGTCACAATGGCTCCAAAGCAGATGGGATCATATTGAATGGTCTTCAGTGCTACTCCTTTCACTGCTGAACTGTGGTCTTCCAGGCTTCCGTAATGTGAGCTTCATCAGACCAACGGCCATGTTACATCAGGGAGAGCAGGCTGATATCGTAGCATCCGTCTACCTGTGGCACCACAGAGCAGAGAAACAGGATGTTTTCCCTTCATTTCTTTTTCAACAATCAAGGTGTTCCCAGTTATTCTGCCTGTTTTCAGGACAACAATGTGCAGCCACTGTAAGGTTTGGCCACACACTCAGCCGACCGGCTTCTCTCCTGTAGGGTTTCACGAGTCTCTTCAGACCTCTTATTGATTCTTTTAATTTGACCCAGTTTGTAAGTGGGCCTACTCATGCTCAAGGACACACTCTTGATTTGGTGCTTTCTTTTGGTGTCCCTGTCTGTGTGACTGATATTTGTGATGTGGGGATTTCTGATCATTTCCCTGTTTTATTCGATGCTACAGTCTCTTACTGTATAACTACTTCTAGTATGCCTGTCCGGCAATGTCGCTTGATTACTCCTAAGACAGCTGAGTTGTTTTCCGCTGCCTATAATGATTTACAGCCTCGTATTTCACTGGATGCTGGTCATGAGACCATAGATGAGTTATTAGCTTGGTTTAGCTCTACATGCACGGACATCCTTGACTCGTGTGCTCCTTTTAGGAATAAACGAGCCAGAATTAAGTCTGAACCTTGGCTAAATGAAAACACCCATTCACTTAAACTGGTTTGTAGGCGGGCAGAGCGCAAGTGGAAAAAAGATGGTCTTCACATTTCGCTGGATATTTTAAAAAACCGATTAAGAGATTATCAAAGTGCTGTTAAACTTGCTAGAGCTCAATACTTTTCCTGGCTTATTGTAAACAATTGTCATAGGCCCCGGGTGTTGTTCAGCACCATAAATGCGGTCTTATATCCATCTACTGCTGCTTGGACGGATGTGTCCTCCGCTACTTGTAATGAGTTTCTTTAATTTTTTGTGGATAAAACTGTTAAGATCAGATCCCAGATTGATGATTCTGTTCTGGATCCTTCTGTTGCTCCTATATGCTCAGCTGTTTTCGACCAGTTTGAGCCTATTTCATTACCTGCTCTTATGAAAGTAGTTCAGCTTGTGAAACCCTCTTATTGTCCTTTGGACATTATGCCAGCAG